CATTCCAAGCATTATTATCTCTATCTCATATTTCCCATATTTCATAAAAAGTTGCAAAAAAGAAAAAAAAATAAAAATGGTGAAAATGAAAAAAAAGAAAATTTTATCCATAATGCTAGTTTTCCTCTCATATTTCTTCATCTCATCTTTTTACATTTCGAAAAAAAAAAAAAAAAGGGCATGAAAATGAAAATTTCTTCCATGTTCATTTCACATCCCACTTTTCATCACATATTTCATTCCAACCACCACTATTTCCATCTCATAGCTCAAAAACAAATGCCTAAAAATGAAAATGAAAATTGCATTCACATGCATTTTGCATTGCATCTTCCATCTTCCATCTTACATTTCATTTCAAACATTACATCTTTCATTGTCTTATACTTTATAAAAATTGCATAAAAATAAAAAAAATCTTATCCATGTTCAGCTCTCAGTACATTTTCAATCTCATTTTTCATTGCAACTCATATTCAACCTTACATCACATTTTCCATCCCATGTCAAATTTACATTCATTTCATGCTCATTTCATGTTTAGAATAAAATCAAATTTGATCCTCATATTTTCTTGTTCTTCAATCAAGTCCTTTAAGTCATGATTTTCAAAAAAAAAAAAAAAATGTACAAGCTCTCATTCGAAGAAGTTCTCACCATCTTGCATTTTGTTGCATGTTTCAAACTTGTGGGCCTTATTCAACTAAATCCAAAGCATTTCACATTTTTGAAAAAAAAAAGAAAAGCAAAAAAAGAAAAAGAGGTTCTTCCAAGATAAATTCATAAAAAATCCATCTTTTAGACATCAGAATAATTTGAGCACATGATTTTGGAGCATCACATCATCCATTTTCTCCAAGTATCACACCATTCACTTTTTCTTCAAGCTTCATGGCATTTGCTTTCTTAAAGGAATGATATTTCGTATGAATGCCAATTTAATGGGTTGCAATAGTGAATCACCAGCTTTTCCTTTGAAATTTGCTTGGCATACTTAATGAAGAAAAATCCATGTTCTAGGATAGAACTTCACAACTTCACAACTTCACACACATTACCACTTGTCAGCATATTCATATTCTTGCATCCTTTATCACTCATTTTTCATCCATGTTTATTTCTTTTCTTGCATTCCCAAAAATGCATGCTTTAGGATACAACAAACTGCAACTTGGGACAAAAAATTATGAACAGTGTAGGAACAGTAAACTTTCTTTGAAAAAATGCATAAAAAGACACAAAACCCTGTTAAAAAGGAATTGCTTGGGGCATTTTTGAGAGTTAAAATGACTGAGCCCTTTTGACAGCTCAAAAATGACTTGAGCTTTTCTATTTTTTGGTTAATTAATTAATTAATTAATTAATTTTTTGGTTGATGAGGGGTTTTTTACTCACTACTTCCTGCCCACATAGAGCACATGGGATATCATCGTTTCCAATCACTTCCCTTTTCTGCAGGGTCTGCTTTGTTGGTAGTGGTACTCTAACCTGCACAACCTTCCGTGCGAGTACCGCTACCTTCAAAGGCACATTTTTATTCCACTCCAACATGAATTTGCAGCTTCCTCCTGCACTGGACTCTTTGCTTCATACTTTTGTACGCCAAGCTGACTTGGTAATGGCCTCCCTTGCTATACTTCGATACCCATGTATCCTGCACGGCTACACCCCTTGCTTCAGCTTCTGTCCTTGTAAGACATTCATTAATTTTTTAACTCCCTCACCACTTCCCCATTAATACTAAATTAAATTTCCTCGTATCTTTTACTCACATCTTTAACTCCCAACCTACCCTCATCCTTTTCTTTACACACTCTCTCCCACTTTACCCAGTTCATTTTTTTACCTCCTATGAGAAAACAAAGCATAAGACAAAAATATGAAGAAAGTGATACTTTTCTTGATTTTTTTGAATATACAAAGTACCTATTTATAAGCTTATATAAGAAAATATTCTATAATACAAAATCGATTAATCTAATTATATCAAACAATTATAATGTGAATATAATCATAGCAATATGAACATAATCAAGTGTGAATATTCCATAACATCCCTTCTTAAACTTAAGGTGGTGATGAAGAGATTAGCTTAAGTTTGAAAAGAAGAGTGCAAAAGTGTCCAGGAAAATAAGCCTCGGTGAAGAAATCTACAAGCTAATCAACAAAGCTAATAAAGACCAGGTGGACAGTTCCTTTGGCAACATGATATCGAACAGAATGACAATTGACCTGAATGTGTTTTGTACGTTGATGAAAAACATCATTGTGAATAATTCGTATAGCACTTTGATTGTCAAAGTAAAGATCAATTAAAGATAGTTG